GAAGTGATGGGTGAGTTGGGCAATGTAGTTTTTGCAGTGACAATGTTGCTTGGCCTGGTCTATTCACTGAACCTGAGCTACCCTCTGGAACTCAGGTACACCTTTGAGGTCCTGCAGAAGATTCTTATGGAATTAGATGCACACGAACTATCCAACAGCACACAAAGTACAGGTTCTCAAAACACTATTTTCCCGTTGAGAAATGTTCCCATTACAACAGCTACACCATGTATCTGGACCATGAACCTAAAATAATTGAAGATAGATGATACCATGCATTTTTTATTGATTTTGAGAAAACACAAAATTGGTGCTCTTTCTTTTTTGAAAGTGCATTTGTTGACCTTCAAAGTAGTTGTATTGGTCATCAGAAAATCACCTGATTCAGCCATTCATTGTTGTTAAAAAAATTTGTTTTAACAGGTTAACTTTCTGCTTTGTCCACTACTTTTTTTCTGTTATGTAACTTGCACTTGCATTTCATGTATTCTTTATACGTTATGTGAAATTTGCTATAAATTCAATAAATTGGAGAAAACAAAAAGATGTGTATGACAAATTTTTATTTACCTTTTAGATGTAATAGTGAAATGTATGTTAACTAGACTCTAGACTTTGTTAAATGCTCCAAAAAATTACTCTTTAAATTAACTTAAAATAATCATGGAAAGAATTTCCACGTGATTAAATTGCTTTCTATTAGCATTAAAGACTTGTGTTGGAATAACTTAATTTGTATGAGTTGGTTCAACTCAATTAACTTAAGCCGGGACCAAATTTAGTAAATTAGTTGGAGAAAACCTACTGAATTGAGTTGGAACAAAACTCTTTAAGTTGGATCAACACCAATAAAATATATTGGATCAAAATGCAGTAAATACATTGATTCATCAATCTTTAATTAGGTTGGTCCAACTTGAGTGCATTAAGTTGGAGTAACAGAATTGCATAGTGCTAAAATAAAGCAATTTAACCACGTGGAAATTCTTTCCATGATTTTTTTATGTTCATTTGAAGAGTTATTTTTTTGAGTGCAGTTCCTTTGCGGAGCTATGCAAGTCTTCACTCAGCGATGTGTGGAAGATGTTGGCAGATGCTCAGGTTCAGAGGTGTCATTCTGCTCTGCAAAGACAAGTGCTGTCAGCATTTAAAATGGCCTTTTACTTGATGTTCTCTTTAAACTCAAGATATTTTAACACTTGCGATAGCTTTCCTTGATGATTACTCTCACATTAACCTAAATCTGCTTTCTTCTCTTAAACCCATCTATTTTAACACTCACAATACTGTAAATGTGCGTCATTAGCCTGTTTTAATCAACAGGTAAAGCATGCTGAAGTAATCTCGAGTGGAAATATCTTTTTTCTTCTCCTTCTGTGTCTCAAGTGGATTGTTACTGATGAAGTGGGAGGAGGGAGGCTAGGGGAAAATCCACAGACGCAAGCCCTGCTAAGTGGTATTAACCATACATGCAAAATAAATGCAAGCGGCATTAAATATACATGCAGAATCATACTTGGTGTATGAAAATCGTGCATGTGCGATCACTAATTTAATTACTGATCCACAGATTCTTAGTCC